CCGGCCGGCCGGCGGGGAAGCAGCGCTAGGGAGGCTGTGCTGTGGGCCCGTCGAAGTTTTGTTTTTTAAAGGGTCGAAGTTTTGCTTTTTAAAGGCAGGGATATTGAAAGCGTAGCGCTGGCCGCAGAATTTCACCAATGCTAACTTGTTGGGGGTGGGGGGGAGGAAAAAAAGTTATTTTGAGAAAAACACGCGGTCCCAGCGTAAGGAGTGTAATGAGGGGAACGGCTAGGTAGCCGTTTAGCTGCAGTGAACCGTCCGCGGGTCGAGGCAGTGAGTCCCTCTCTGCACAAAATCTCGTCTCTGGACCAGGCCCTGCTTCTGCTGACCTGCTTTCCACCTATTTTTGCAGTGACATCGGTAGATCTTACCTGTGACTCACCATTTTAACTGACCTCCCCGTCTTTGTGATCTTTGCAGATCTCTACTTTTCTATTCCCTTCGATTTAAAGTCACTATAAGAATCAGCTGTGAATATTGTGACACAGTATTTGAAAGGCGATTTGAGGAGGAGGAGTGAAGTATTATACCGCTTGTAATCCACGCTAAATAGTAGCACTAAGCAGGATGCTCTCATTGCTGCTTCACAAATGGGAAAACGGAAAGAGGGCGAGTTTCGTGCTGCCTCCTCGCCCAGTATGCCCTCTCTGGGAACGCGCATTTTGAATGAAACTGTATGGCAAATAAAAGAGCAATGCACTTTGGTTCAAATGTGAAGATATCTTCCGCTGCAAGAACACAAAAAAGGTTATCATAAAACCTTTTCCCCTCATTATATCCCATCTTTCATGAGCAATTTCAAATGACAATTTGAAATAGCTCCCAGAGCAAGCTTACACTTTCAGTGCCAAGACTGAGCCCAAGGAAATTTTTTCAACTGAGTTTTATTGAATAATATTGATAAAAGAATAGTAAAGACACACTTGCACAGATTATCTACAGAAGAGTGAAATACACTTCATGCTACTTGCAAAACTAGAAGAAAAATTAACGAAATAGCAAGATTTGACTTGGAACTAGTTTTCCAAGTGGCATGAAACAAATCTTAATTTGTTGTCTAGATTAAGCAGTAGCATGATCTGATAACTGAATTAACTTTAACTGGAAATTAAAATTTGCTTAGTTGCTTGAAAGACTAAAAGGCAAAAAATATTTTTTCTGCCTGAAAACTAGCTTTGATCCCCTTTTTTACCTGCACAGTGTAGAACATACAGTTCCTAGAGGGATTAAAATACAGGGTAAATCTGTTACTATTAATGAAAGGGTACTGTTCGGCTTCCTGTAAAGATTAAGGTACATGTAATATAATCTTTGCAAGACTGTGTTTTGCCTTTCAGGGAGGAAGGTAACATCTTAATCATCACATTATGTCATAGGATTAAGCAAGAAAATTTGGAAGTGCAATGCTAAGTAATTATCTAACATGGGCACAATTCTCCTCTTCCTTGTACCTAAGCAACCATAGCAGAAACTTTTATATGATACCAATACAGTTACATTAATCCTGTGGAACCGCAAGTTGCACATATCCTTTCGTGTGGTATCGATGATGTAAAAAACCAGTAATTTACTTTCTTGCGCATAAGTCATC